CCTGACCATGACTCTTGTTCCAGTTCTTTGCTCCGAGTCCAATGTGTAGTTTCTGAAGAGCTGGAAGGACCCCAGCCAAAATGGCTCATCCTCGTTGCTTAACATGCACATGTGGTGAAGCCCCCCTCCTCAGAAGAGGGAAAGGCAGTGACTGGGCCGTGGCAAAGCCTGGGGCAGTAGAGGAAGCCTGGCCCTAGATCAGAGTCCCAAGTGAATGTGGAATGTGAGGGTAGAGTGATGGAGAGGTCAGGGGAATAGTTATATTCCCATCCTTTAAATTTTGTTCAGATGTCCCCTCAGTAACTTCTTAGAGCTGACAAGAAGGGCTGTTTCCTCCATTAATAATGTACCCACCCATGAAAGTCAGAGTGGGCTTGCCATCATGGACTTTAGAGTGGCAAGTGACGTGTGTGTGTGTGTGTGTGTGTGTGTGTGTGTGTGTGTGTGTGCATTATACATTCAAAATGGTTCTTGACAGCCACAACACCAAACTGGAGTTCTTTCTACAAGATGGGGAAGGTATGGGAAGTGGGGGCCAGAGAGAGAGAGGTTATGAAAATGTGGTTACCATAGGCTGGAGGGGAGCTCTGTTGGTGAAGTGCTTGCCTTGAAAACACCAGGACCTTAGTTCCATCCTCGGAACTCACATTAAAAAAAAAAAAGCCAGGCACAGTGGCATGTGTTTATCACACTTCTCAGTTCATGTCCTGTGGGGTCTTGGAGTGGGGAGAGGATGCTGAGACACAGAACAGGAACAAGTCACCTCAGTGTCATCACTGGCCATTAACCAGAGCCACCTGTGTCCTACTGTGCAGCTGTGGCCCTGTGCCAGGGATGACACGAGGCCCTGTCCTTTGCAGCAGGCCATTGTCCTCATGAAATCTTTGTGAATGGCAGGGACTTGAGCTCACACTTGCACAAGGGTCCTCTGTTGTACAGTGTCAGAGTTGATGTAGAGAAGCAGAGAATGCATCCAAACTGGAAATGGGACACATCAAGACACTGAGCAGCAAGGAACCTCTACAGGGTGTGATTTCAGACTGTCCACCTACACAGGCATCACAGAGAGTAGGGATGGAGAGTGCAGGAGGCCAGGGCTCAGTGCAAGAGTGAAGCCGAGTCCAGGAAGAGAGCTGGGACAGCTTCACTGGGGAGCACATGGGTGGTCTGCAGTGGTTGGAAGACAGGAGAAGACCCATGATGCCTTTTAGCGGCTGGCCTCTGTGAGCTGCAGCCTTGTCTGGTTAGTCAGCCCTGAAGAACTGATCCTGAAGCCTGGGCTGGCCTGATGTAGACAGTCCCTCAGCTATCCACAGCCCCAGGGACTCATCTCCAGGAACTATGGCTGTGTGATAAGTGGATCTTGGGGAGGACCCTGTCAGCTTCTCCTTTTGCCACTTCTAGGAAAATCGCGGCTTATGATGAAGAAATACAGCATCTCTATGAGGAGATGGAACAGCAGATCAAAAGCGAAAGGGAGCAGTTCCTCCTGAAAGTGAGTGTTGGACTCCCAGTCCCGGCACTGGGGCATGGCTACTTGGCTGCGGACTCTGAACGCCTTTCCCCATTAATATCCCAGCATGTTCCTTCTTCTTCCGCCTTCATGTTCAAGCCGTTTATCACCTTCAAGCAGAATATATGGTGTACCTATTTGTTTCTATTCTCCATTGTCTGTTTCCTCCTACTAACGTGTTAAGTTCATTTGCTTACTAATCTGGCTTCAACTTCTAGAGCATGCCTGGGATGGTAGGAGATGCCCCCATAGGTGTTTGCTCAACCAATGTGTGAGTGAGCAAAGGAATACATGGAGATGGGGGTGGATGAACTGACAGAAAAGAGGGGAGAAAAGGAGGAAGGGAGCCAGGGATGGATGGATGGATGGATGGATGGAGAAAGATAAAGGGATGGATTGTTGGTGTGTGGATAAAAGAGAAGGAGAAGAAAGGGAAAGCAAGAAGGAAATAAGAAAGGAGGAGGAAGGCAGGAAGGAAGAGACATGTGATGGATGGATTACAGAGCATACTTTCGCAGCTAAGGCAACCTGGATATTGAGTGTCACTCAGTTGAGCTCTGTACCTATCTAGCAGACCATCAAAAACATACCAGCTCATTTTATTCCCTGAGCAGCAGCCCCGAGGGAGACAGTCATTAGAGACCAGGCTGCCCACCCTTTCTTCTTAGACAACTGGAAAATACAATCACCAAGAAAAAACAAGACCACCATCCTCAGCACCGGGAGAGAAAATGTGAACCTTGCACCCCGTTCCTTGTGCACCCCTGTTCCTAGTGTACCCTGTTCCCAGTGTACCCCTGTTCTGGTGCACCCCATTCCTGATGCACCCCTAGTACTAGACCTTTCTAGCCCTTGCTGTTATATTTGGAGGTGAGGACTGGTAAGGTGAGGACCCTCTTCTCTACCAAACCCAAGCTAAGCAAGATCTGTTTTGGTGCATCCTATTTGAAAAACAAAAACAAAGAACCCAGGGAACGCTGTCTTGCCTCCTGGGACTGTCTCCCTTTCTTGGTGAGTTCTCTGCAAAGGGCTGCCGATCTTGGACAGCAGCCTCCCGCTGCCTCTCAGCGCTAAGCCCAGGCTGTTGTCTCAGGCTCTTCACTTGATCCAGATTTCAATTTTCCACTGCTTTGGATTATCCACACCACTGCTCCACTTATAATCACAGATGCCATTCACACTGCAGGGAAATCAGAACGCCTTCCAGAAATATCTGGCCAGAGCCCATGGAGGCTTGCCAGTATTTCCAGACCACCCCTATTGTCCTTCAGTGCTTTGAACCCTTCTGATTGTTCCAGTGTTCAGGGAAACTGGATGCGCGTGTGGCAAACAGAATTCACACACGTCCATCAGCAGACCGAAAATAGCTTCCCACAACAGCAGTCCCCCCACCTCCGCAGTAGGAAAGCCACCCCCTCCATCCCTGTGACAGACTGCAACAGGGAGACATGCTCTGAGGATATTTTGTCCCCTCTGCGCAAGTCATGGCTGTAGCTAAGGTAATGCTCCAGCAACAAAGGGTGGGCTCAGGTGTGGGGGGCCTGGGGCTGAGTAGAGGTTGCAGGGAAGAAATGAAGGACAAGTTAGCATCATTTCAGATGATCTGGCTTTGGTGCTATGTCCCCTTCCAGCCTCTCCTTTTGTCCAGAGAGCTTAGTGCTTGCACTTGAGCCTTGGCTGTGAACATGAAAACGCCAAGGATGGCTTTGGCAGTGCCATTGAGCCTTTAGACCCAGACTTCCGCTGGGTCTGGAGTTAGGATAAGGATGCTGCCATCTGTGACATCATATGAAAGGAGCCTCTGACCAGAGTTTGGATGCTGGTCATACCCATATCATACATTTGACCATGAGAAAAATACCCACTCATTTGCATCCTCCAACTCCAGACTGGGAGATACCTCTCAATGATGTCCCAACAGGGTCAATAGCATGCTCCATGGGCCCTGTGGGAATGAGTGCATCAGCATGGGATTCAGAAACCGTTTGCTGTTCCAGCATATTTCATGAGGTGCTTGCTCTGTGAAAAGTAGTTGAGTGAACTAAGTTGGTCCCTTGCAGCTGATTTTCTTCAAATGAAGGTGAGGGCAGAGACTGAGTGGACTCCGTGCAGGCCATCACAGGTGGTTCAGATGCGGGTGGGCGCGGGTCTTCCTGTATCTCCTCTGCTCATTGATCTGTTTGGACATGACCAGGGGAGCTAGCAGCATCACCAGAGGAAGCATGAGCCTTTGAACAAAGGTTGCCAAAGGCTTGCGAGCTGGGAACAACTGTTTTCTGCCAGATGTGGTAGCCAAGACCCCCATAGTCCTCCAGTGTAGCACCTCGTAGCTGGCCCCTCTTGAAGGCATCTCTCCGCCATGGCCTATCCTGGGGCCTTCAGTAGCTCCTGATGTAGGTTTTTTCTTTTGTTTTATTTTTTATTTTATTCAATAGCTTGTCCCTACCTTGCCATAGATGGGGTGGTGCAGGAAACAAAGGGCATCCACTCTGTTGAAATCCAGAGCGATGAAGCCAGTAAGATGAACAGTGCAGGGACTCAACCCACGTTTCCTGATTCAAAGCCTCAGAGCCTTCCATCCGACCTGGCTCTGCTGGGAATGGTCTGCCTCTGAAACCCCGTACTATCCGTGACACTACAGCCAGACATCACATCCGTACCCTCAGAACTTAGTAGCTCTGTGTGGAGAAGTCTAGCCTAGGGAGTGAGGGGAAGAAGATGTCGAGTGCAGGACAGAGACATCATGAGGACCATGGCCCAGGAACCCTGAATCATCATGGATGAGTAGTGAGCACTCGGATCCTCCAAGGAGGCAGGAATAATGCACTGTGCCCGGAGCTAGTGTGGTTTAAGAGGCCAGTGACAGTGTCCACAGTGACCAGTGACAGTGTGAACTAAAGTCTCCAAGTTGGAGGCCATCTTAGATATGTATAGATGGGAGGCTGGCCAATGAGTCACACTCAGGCTCCTCCTCTCCTTGTCCCATTCCTCCAATGGCTGTCCTTAGGTCATTGTTTGGGTGGGAAAGCGTGGTAAGGCACCATCACAGGATTCACATTTTCTAGTGTATGTCTGAGCACTAGCTTGGTCTCATAGATCCTCAGTGCTGGGGTAAGTGGGTCACTGGAGCCTGGGGTTTCAGGGGATGGGCCTCAAAGTGAAAAGCGATTAAGCTGGCCCAGCTGATGAAGGAGTTCAAGTGCATACTTCCAAGGCTGTAAGTCGGGTGTGCGGGGTGTAGGACCCACTGTCTTCTCTTCTGGCTTGGCAGGACACAGAGAGGTTCCAAGCCCGCAGTCGAGAGCTGGAAAAGAAGCTGAGCGCCAAGGAGCAGGAGCTGGAACGTCTCATCCAGAAGCAGAGCAGGGTGGGTTACTGTGCAGACTCCTTGGTCCCTCAGCTCATCCAACTCATCTTTGCCTCTGCCCCACCCCCTCCGCTATTCCCTCATGGATTTTAAACTTGCCCCAGAAGACCTGTGATTCTGCATGTGTCTTCATTCAAAGTCCCCACAAGGTGGATATATTGACATATGCATGTAATTACACCACTGGGTAGACTGAGGCAGGAGGATTCTGAATTCCAGGACTGCCTCATGGACCTAGTTCAAAGTGCAGCCTGGGCTTTATAGTGAGACCCTGTCTCAAATGCTAAAACTACTTTAAGCATTTTAAAATTTAATTTTAAAACCAAGTCACAGATGACCCTAGATAAAGCCACAATTGTGTGTTTAACCTAGAAAAGTCCCCATGAGTCACCCAACCCCCAGGGATCTGAGGACAGTTTCACATAATTATACCCAAAGGTAATTACGGATGCTAAACCTTGAAGTTGGATTAGGCATCCTGCAGAAGAAAGGAGGGACCCAGGGGAGTGCAGAGACACTTGTGGGACACTGATGCTTAAGGGGAAGGGCAGACATAGTTGTCCTCTTTGGCATAGCTGTGGATAACTCCAGCTGGAAAAGGCTCTTCAAAGAATTGCCCGGATGCCTGGACAGGGTCCATGACCTCCTCTGGGACACAGCTAGATGCGAACACCGGTCACTCCCCTCTCTGTGCCTGAGCAGAGAAACAGACTGTGTGGCATGCTCTACAAGGTGGCAGCTGTACCTAGAGCTCAGGACACTTGGCTCACAGTACCAGGTAGCCAGGTCGAGTGTCTTGCTCAGCAGCCTCCTCAGGAAAGCAAGAAGAAAGACCTCTTGGGAGTGTGGGGAGGTGGGGGGGGGGGGGAATGTAGCACTGGCCTCCAGTCTCAGTTTGCTTGGTCCTGGAAGAAATCCAGCCCTGGACAGACCGACACATGGCTTTCCTAGGAACAGAGAAGACTATTTTTAGCAACATGCAAACATAAGCTTGAAGAACCCCCCTGCTGAGGCCAGGGCTGCTGCCCCTGCTGATCGCTAAGCTTTAGGTCTAAGCCTCTTTCTCCTTTGTAGCAAGAGGCTGCAAACCCTGGGAACTGCCTGCCACCCTTTCCGCCTTTCCGTTCTCCATCCACAGTCATACCTTGGCTCACTCCTCCTTCGCTTCCTCTCTGCTATGTATTAAGTTCATAGCAATTAAATTCATCCCTCCAATGAATGATTGCCACTTCATTTAATTACTGCACGCTTGCCTGATAACACAGGAGCCCCGTGAGAGGCTTATGACATTCCTTGTTGCAGCTCTTCTCCCCTCACTGGCCACATTCATGAAACTAAATTTATTATGATCTATTTGCCTTGGTGTGCCGCTTAGTCTGGAGAGGCTTGGAAGCCCCACAAAGCCTACTCACCAGCCAAGAAGAGCTGAAGTTATCAAAATGCACATTTTTTTTCAGTAGCTTTAGGGATGCAAGAAAAGGCATGGGGTCTGTTTGACCTGGTTTGATTCTTTCTTCAGAATCTCCAAGGTCCGTGGGACTCAGGCAAAGCTGTCTCTTAGATGAAGGGGGAACTGGGCCGCTGTAGCTGAAGGGAGAAAGGAAATTGATAAATTTCCTACCTGTGGTCACTACAGGGAAGGTGGCTTTATGATGAACAGCCACTGAACTCTTCTCTGTTCCCATAGGGACCAAGGCAAAGACATTGGCTTGGAGGACAAAAGGGATATTTAGATGAGGTCTCCTGCCCATGGTGCCTTTGGGAAGGAAGACACAGGTCACCTGTGAGATTTTCATTGCTAGCAATCCTATAGAACGAGGCCACCCCAGGCCCATCTAGCAGTCCCATGTGGAGGCTGGAAGGACAGAATGAATGTGCTATGAAAGTCACTCCTGCCTGCAGAAGTGTCTACATGGGAGTGATGGAACAGAGCAGTGCTAGCTTGGGCTTGAGGGCAGTGTGGCGCTGAGCCAGCCCTGGCCCTGGCCCTGTTCATCCTTCCTCTCTGTCCCCTTTGTAGCTGGAAGGCCAGTGCACAGCTCTACACAGTGACAGACATGAAACCAAGGCTGAGAACACTAAGCTGAGACTCACTAACCAGGAGCTGGCCCGAGAGTTGGAGCGCACCTCCCAAGAACTCCAGGAGGCACAGCAGCAGCTGGAGAGCCTCCAGAGAGAGGCCTGTGAGCTGCAGCAGGAGAAGGAGATGTGAGTTCAGCCCCAGACACTGCAGGCTGCTTTGCTCTGTGCTGGGGACCAGGATCTTTCTTCCCCAAACCCTGTTTCCTGCCCGGTGTGTGAGGTGGAGTTAGCATCCTTATTCCCTGAGATTCCTTTCTCTCCCTCCCCTTCTCTCCTTCCTTTCTTAACCAGAGTCTTACTGTAGAGCCCAGATTGCCCTTGACCTTATCATTCTCCTGCCTCAGCCTCTTGCGTTCTGAGGTGACAGGTACGACCCCCCTCCTGCCCCCGCACACACTCTCCTGATGCTCCTTGAGACTTCTAACCCTCCTCAAGGATCTGAGACTACTAAGCAAAGCCAGAAGTTCACAAGAAATAGCTCTTGACCTAGTTGCTTTCTGTTGCTGTGCTAAAACACTGACCAAAAACAGCCTGGGAGTAGAAAGGGTTTATTTGGCTTACAGGTTACAGTCCATCATCAAGGGAAGCCAAAACAGAAACTCAAGGCAGGAACCCTGGAGGTGGGAACTGAACCATAGAACATGGGAGAATGCTGCTTTCTGGCTCGTTTTCCAGCTCAGGGTCAACATGTTTCTTAAAGAGCCCAGGCCCATCTGCTAGGGGTGATACCGCCCGCAGTGGACTGCACCCTCATACATCTATTAGTAATCAAGAAAATGGCCCACAGACATGCCCATGGGCCAATCTGATGGAAGCAATTCTTCAACTAAAGTCCCCTCCTCCTAGGTATGTCAAAGTGACAACCAGGATTAGTCATCACAGTCCTGGTCTCAGGAAATGTATTCTGCAGATAGAAAGATCAGCTATTCTACCCACACATAAGGAGGCAGCCTGAGCAAAGGCTGAAAGAGCAGAGGGCCCTTGGTACCCATTGAAGGCTAAAGACCAGGAGCCTCAGGTATATGAGAGTGGGAAGGCTTCCAGGGTCAGCTGATAATGTGACTGGTGTGTGACAGGGCTCTAGAATCATGTCTCAATCCTTAGCCATTTTTTTCCTAGAGTATTTCTCTGAGAAGACTGTCTGAGCCCACAAGGGAACCCCACCTCTCTCAAAATTTGGCTTCCTGTTCACTGCTCTTAGTACCCAGCCATTGTGCTTAGGCAGCTAGGCAGAGACAGAGCCATGCCTGAAAACAAATCCAGTGGGTCTTCCCCTACAGCTGGAGGGGATGATGCCAAAGTAGCCCTTCACCTTCAGGGACATTAGATTTTTTAGAGCAAAGGGACCCGTTTATTTGGTCATTCATTTATCTACATACTCATTGATATCCTCACCTGACAAATGGTCATTGCAAATCATTCCACACTAGGTACCTTGGGCCTTCAACGCATCTCACCAAGGTCAAGAACTTGACCTCCTCTTGTTTGGTCACACCGTGTCCTTATGTGGCTTGTGTCTTGTCAGTCTGATTGATGGGCAAACAAAGCAAATCCCCAGACGTTAAATGCTACACATACCCTCCTAACACCCCAGAGGATAATAAACCTTCCAGATACACTGTTCACAGCTAAGACCAGGACTCATCTCGTTTACTTGCTCTTCACTAATTCACTTATGAACACATCCATTCTGCCAGGGGCCATTGTGTGTTTGAAAGACACCATGGGTACCAGTGGTCTGATTTCAGGGCATGGGATGATAGGCTGACCAGCACTAAAGGCTCTGCGCATCCTAAGTGCCTTTGTTCAGGATGAAAGCCCTCACTTTATCTGAGTGCCCTCAAGATTCTGGTACATGGAGTACATCCAAGATGCCCCCACAGTTCTGCTCCCGTGTGGAGTCAGAACCATTTGGAATGGACTGTCTGGATGAGAGGGACAAAATGTGTTTGGCCTGGGAATGTCACCCTAGTAAGGTATCTCAGATTGTAAGATAAATAAATGACTCCCAAGAAGCTGACTTAGAACGAAGCCCAGCCCCCATGCCAGTGCTTCGGAATGCGAGTCAGGGGGACCATGCCTTTCATCATAAACAGGCTGAGTCAGTTCTTCCTGTCTGAGAGTAGGGTGCCAAGGCACAGGCACCTGACTTTATGACGGAAGTAGGGATTCAGGCACTTCAGATCCAACCAAGCTCTCAAAACTGCCAACCACTGCAGGCAGAAACATTCAGACAGTGAAGGGAAGCAAACACTTCGGGGGAGCCTCGCAGCTCAGCACAAGGAGTCGGAGCCTTCACGTGCCTTATCTTCATTAACAAAGCCAGAGATGCATCTCTGAAAAAGAGGGAGGCAAACGAGAATCCGGAAGCTCATGTGTAGGAGCTTGGAGTGTCTTATGGATGTGATGGGCCCAAGAGAGCCCCACCCCCCACCCCAGAGAAGCCAGGGGAGAGAGCAAAAGCCCTGACTCATTTTCTGGAGAATGGAGACTCAGACCAACACCAGTGACTGCACCGTGGAGCTCCCATTCACTACCTCCATTTTTACACAGGACAACCAGAGGCTCAGAGAAGCCACACAGCCAGCTGAGATTAGGTCAGGGTCCAAACCTCCTTCTCCCAGTGTTCCTGGGTGTCTTGTGGCATGGTGTTGCTTCAGAGTTGTTGGGAGGGGAGAAGGAGGAGACAGGGAGTAAACAGACTTGATCGTTTATCAGCAAGCATTCCAAATGGACAAAATTAATTTTCCCACTCTCTGAAAACATTGAAGGCAGGAAGACTAGATTTGAGGATGAGATTAAAAAAAAAAAAACCCCTCAAGCAGCAAGATAACTCAAAAATGAAGGCCAGCCCAAAGCTGCACCTCTGAGCTGATTTTTAATTAACTTTTATCTTGAAGATATAGTTTAAGACAAGATACAAAAGAATGACTCCCCAAGAGAAGTCTGTCTCCTCCCATGACCCCTGTCTCCTGTGGATCCTGGAGTCTGTTATGCATGTGCAAATACATCCTCATGTACACACACACACACACACACACACACACAAACACACACACATACACACACGCACATGAACACACGTATACACATGCATACACAAAAATGCACATGCATATATACATGCACACACTCATAAGCACACATGTATACACATGCACACACATAAATACATGCATGCACATAAGCACACACTGACACACACACACACACACACACACACACACACACACACACACACACACACTTGCCTTTAGAGACTGGCAGCCAGCCAGACATATGGGTTTGTTTTGCCTTTTTCATTTAACAACATACTTTGCAGAATGTTTCATAGCTCATCTCTTTCCTAAAAACAAAGCCACAGCAACTCCCTGAGGGAAACTACTTCTCCTCAAGGACTATAACAAAAGGCAGCTGGTCCTCTCCTTCCCAGTCTGTTGCCACCCAGGGAGAGGTGACCTCTAGTTCAGAGGGACTCAAAAGGTTAGCCAGTCAAATCTCTAAGAGCTGCTGTTTAATGATGTCCTTTGGCTATCACACAAAAACTGTATAGCTGGATATATCCATATGTGTGTGGATATGTATATACTGACCACCATAGATGTGTGTTCACTCGACAGACAGATGAGCATGTATTTGCATAAGTATGCCGTGTGTGTGTGTGTGTGTGTGTGTGTGTGTGTGTGTGTGTGTCCTGGTGTCATACACAGAGGCAGAGAAGACCCACATAGCATGAGACTTATGAACTGCTTTCTCAGTCAAACCCTGAAGACACAGACCTCTGCTCTGCAGTGAGTCCCTGCCCTCAGCAGGGGACAACTTCTCTGCTGCCCCTGCCAGGCAGGAGTAGGAGGCAGGTAGGAGAGCCCCTGAGCTGGGCACAGGCCTCTTCAGCAGCCAGGACCCAGACAGGAGCAGGCAAGGCTGTATGTGTTGTGCTAATCAGAACAGAGTCCCAGACAGGGGCTCAGGGACCCAGTTTGTATAATGGGAAATACACTGTTTTCCCTGAAGTTGAAATTAAATATAATTGGTAATAAAATGTGAGGAATTCACATCTCTGCAGGAGCCGGCAGAGTTGTGTTGCTTAATTAGGATTGTCTGAGGTGAACTTAGAATTTGATTCAGTCTGTTATGGTCGTCAAGCGACTTTGTAATGATTCTGTAAGGAAGAAGAAGAAGAAGAAGGGAAAAACACAGATGACGCCTAAGGACTGAAGTTATTAGGCACTTAGTGGGAGGGTCCCCAGGCTGATGCTGATGTCAACCGCTCAGTCATGACATTGAAGGGTGGCGGAGGGGTGACAGTCCTCACAGCCCAGTGAGCACAGTCAGACAGAAAGTGACCAGTCGATCAGCTGTTGGGTGCTTTCTGCCAGAGAACCACACTGCTGTGGAAATGGGAACTCTGGGGCCTTGGTAGTGAGACTGGAGAGTTGCTTGGATTCTGTGCTGAGGTTCAGAGTACAGGGGCAAAGACGAGGCACAGCTGTGAACTTCAGTCCAGTGCTGCCCACTTGTGTTGTTTCCTCTGCTCCCTCTCCCATCTCCCTTCCTCCCTCTTTCCCTCCCCTTCCTCCTATCTCCCTTCCCCCTTGCCTTCCCTCCTTCCTCCCTTCCTTCATTTTTCCCTGACTCGCCTCCCTTCTTTCCTCTCCGAAATGCTGCTCTTTACTCGTATGGTGGTAGCAGAGCCCCCTCCTCCCTTCTCCACGCCCACCACTCACCTGGCTGTGTCTGCCTCCTCCTCAGGGAAGTGTACCGAGTGACAGAGAGTCTGCAGCGGGAGAAGTCGGGCCTCCTGAAGCAGCTGGATTTCTTAAGGTGGGTCTCTCCAGGATTTCTTCCTTGCCTGTACTCTGGAACAACACTGATACCAAGTGTAGCAGTACTTTCTCACCGGAACTGCCAGCCCACAAATATCGACACAGAGACTTATAATTAATTATAAAAGCTCACCCTTAGTTTAGGCTTGTTCCTAACTGGTTCTTATAACTTAAATTAACCCATATATTTTATCCGTGTTCTTCCACGAGGCTCGTGACCTCATCTCTTTGCTGCCTATCGTGCTTCCTCTGCATCTGGCTAGTGACCCCCCTTCCTTCTTCCCAGAGTTCTCTCTGCTTGGAAGTCCCGCCTATACTCTCCTGCCTAGCTATTAGTCGCTCAGCTTTTTATTACACCAGTCACAGAAATACATCTTCACACACTGTACAAATACCCCACAACAACCAAGAGGGCTCACTTTCCCCCCATCACCAGCATATGGTTTGGACTGCTGAATGCTACCCACTAGGAGATGTGGTCATCTACTCACATGTCCACCTTCCTCTTTGTGGCAGGCTCTGCCTCATCCTTGGTGTCCTTGTTGGACAGTTCATGACCCTTGGTTGAGAAGGAGTAGGTCTGGATGGACAGCTACTCTATGGCCAGTGTACAATCTCACCTCCAGCGAAAACGTCAAGTCTCTCAGGTAGTGATGAATTCTGGAATCAACCAAGAGCATCTTGGTGTTAGAGAAATGAAATCCGTGTCTGGCTGACTCTTACCTCAGCCGTGGGATGAGTAAATGCACCACACATAGGGCTATGAAAGGAGTTTCCCAGTTCTAAAACCCACTGAAATGAGCTCAGAGTTCACTGGTCTAGAAAAAGTTTCCTACCAAGCGAAGCAAACATGGAAGTGGGAAGGGGGAAGTTTTGGGTTTGTCTAGGTTTCCTATAGGCTGTTCCTGCCATCTGCTGATGACGTCATGGGGAAAGTGATGATAGAGGGCTTGGGGTCTTGTTGTTAAAGTGCAAGTGGTTTTGAATCACTTCCGGTTATGTATGAAATGTCTTGTATCTGTTTCTGTGAGAACAAGGTGAGGCCATTGTCTGACATCTTTAGTAGTGAAGAATTCAAAAAAGCCACCTGTGTTTGAGATGTGCTCTGCTTAGAATGAGATAAACCAGGCCCTTCCTGGTTGGAATATGGAAGAGTTCCCAAGTGGCCATGTTCTACTCCATTAGAGACAAGATCTTTGCTCTCAGGAGTCTTTAGGAAGAGTACAAGATGCACAGGACACTGTTTTTTAACTTGTTTTTCTTCATTCTATTGTACTTCGAAAAAGATAATGGCAGGATGGACCATAGACCAAAGAGAATGAATAGGAAGGAATGGGCATGACTCTCTACAGACGTTCATGAGTCTTTCTCTTGGAGATCAGCATTTGTGAGGTTCAGATGCACATGCCTGAAGGAAGCCATTCTGTGCTATCACATGGTTACTGTAATTAAGCAAAGATGAAGGAGAGGACATGACAGATTTCCTCATCCAGGAAATCACCAAGAATTCGGGGAGGGTGGTAAGAGGTGAAATAGGGGGACAGTGGAATGCGGGGTGGTAGTGAGACAAGGACCATGGCTGGAGTGTGAGACATGACTTCCTTAACTCCTGCTCCTGTTCCTGCACAGAATGTATAAACAAAACAGTAAACAACACTGCATACTTTGCCAGGAAGGGAGGAGCTTGAAGGCCTTCTAAAGCCTCATTCAAGCAGCCAGCTTACTGCTTAGCCAGCGTGAGGGTCCTTCAGACATGAGCAGCTCACTTTGCCATGGTCAGGGTTTACCTTCCATTCTTCTTCCCCAGACTTGTCCCAAAGGCCTGGCTGTCATTGAAAACAATAAGACACACAGCCAGTGTTCTCTTCAAGAAGGATGGCTTTGCAGGTCCCACATCTTGATTGTCATTCCGTGGGACAGCCTGAAATTTGATCCTACAGGGCACTCAACAAAGTGCTTGGTCCACAGTCACACCAAGTAGATCACTGTATTATGATAACTAGTGCTTGGTCACTGCTGAGCCCACTCTCCCCCTTCAGAAGTACCTACAGGTCCATGGCCATCTGCACAAATTGATGCAGGATCACAGATGTGAGCTGAGATGAGGGAGGGGACCCTCCCTATTACATCAATGGAAGAACCTGTAGCTGGAGTTTTCTCTATTCCTGCCCAGCACCACGGACCCCACAACCATTTATAAAATAATCACTCAGAAACTTATATTAATTAAACTGCTGGGCCATTAGCTCAGGCCTACCACTGACTAGCTCTTACACTTAACTGAGCCCATTTCTGTTAATCTATATGTTGCCACGTGTTCCGTGGCTTTACCTGTTGCCTTTACATGTTGCTCCCTGGACGGCAGGCTGGCGTCTCCTCCACTCTGCCTTCCTGTTCCCCCAATTCTCCTCTCTGCTAGTCCTGCCTATACTTCCTGCCTGGCTACTGGCCAATCAGCATCTATTTATCAATCAATTATAGCAACATATTTTTACAACATACAGGACATCCCACAGCAAGAACCTTCCAGTTATTTGTGTCTAGTGCACCTCACAAACACCTCACATCCTGTTCTGTTCTCTTACCCACTCTGAGCTTTCACTAAACCTTTAGAAACCTTCCACTTTCCACCTTCCCACTTGGTCTCCTGCTTCAGAAATAGCCAGAAGGAGTTGACAAAGCTTGCTCCATGTTGCCAGCACCCATGTCTCTAACTCTGTGGAGGTGGTGTGAGCTCCCAGTGCTCCCAGCAAAGGCTACTGCCATGTCATCCCTGTTCCCAGCTGGAGTTCGCAGATGGATCCATCCTGCCTTGATCTGTTGGCTTTCACACTGTCTGCCATTCTTAATGCTCCAGTCTGGCTTTCTCGCCCGCAGTTCCACCCAAACTCTTTGCCCATGTCACCAATGACTTCAACTTCTTCAAAAATATCAGTCCATTCTCAGGGCCACACCTTTGTCACTGACAGTCTCAGCAGAACTTCCAAGGGGATCCCCTCAGTGCTGGAATCAGACCATGACACCCTCTGCCAGACATCCCCCACCCCTCACCACACACAACCAACCCACGGCTTCATGTCTTGTTTGGGGTGACTATCAAAGCCTTTACTGTGGTCCAGGAGGCTGTGGTTAGTCAGGTCTTATTCCACCCACTGTTCTTCGACTGCATCTCTTCGGGTGCCCTGTGTCCCTCTCTCCTGTTTCTCCCACACATGAGTTTATCACAATCAAGCCTTTGCCCTGCTCAACCCTCTGCCCAAATATTCTTTCCCCAGACACCTGCCCAGCTCTCCTACCCTTGCTAGGGTTTGTCAGATGCTGCCTCACCAGCCAGGGCTTCCCCAACTATCCTGACTGAAATGCTTGACACACTCTGGTTCCCCTTTCCCCATGTTTCCACTTTGGTTTCCCAGTAGTGCTCACCCCCAGCCTAACACAAGCTTCCTGAGGCCAGAACTTTGTGGCTGTTCACCTCTGCATCCTTGATGCTCAACAAAGTTTGGTAAGCAACTCATATTCCACCCGTGTTCGAGAACAGAAGAACTGGGCAGAGAAGGAGCCCACTGGAAGGGGGACATGCCATCCTGCCCTCAAGTGATGGTGGCTGAGTGTTCAAGGGCAGTGTGTGTCACAAGACCACTCAGTCTTATCCCCCTGCCTCTGAGCGGATTTACACGTGAACTCTCTTCTGTCCATAGCCACATCCCTGGGCCTTCCATATCAGGCTTTCTCCTGCACCCATCTGGCTGGCTAATGGATGCCCCTAGATCTGTCAACTGCAGAGTCCATGTTTGAATAGCTTTCCTTTACTATCCACAGGGAAAGGAACAAACATCTCCGGGATGAACGGGACATAAGTTTTCAGGTAATTGGTTGACCAGTGCTCTCTTAGGACTGGGGCAGAGTTAGGCAAGACCCAGGGCTAATCTGATCCATGCCAGGACTGATCAAGACTGCCCTGACACTTATGGTGTGTTAGATCCTTTCTATGTGGGCAGGATGAAAGTGTAAGATATTATTCAAGCAATACAGAGGTAATCACACGTGGATTTTCCATAGAGGAGAATGCCTTCCTCTTGGCACAATCAGACTCGTATGTTTAGAAGAGCCATGCATTTCTTGGAGGCAAAAGTGACAGTCGCATCCGTGAGATGGCGCAGTTGAAATGCCATTATCACCTGAAGTGAAAGACTTAGTTTGTTCTTTCGTTTAAATTTTTATCTCCTGATGAAAATCTCAAGCTTTATGCTGTCAGAGAGCAAATTTACAATGCACACACAGCTGTTTACACAGTTGATCTCACATACAGCGTCTTCTGTACTCTATCCAGACCCTCTCCTCTCCCACACCTGAGCATGGTGCTCCACACTTTCCAGATAGTGTGACGTTGTTCACAGGTCTTCACAGTGGGGCACACTGAAGAGACTCCAGAACACTGCGCCTCCTTCTTCACCTCCCCCCTTTTTTTTTTTTTTTTTTTTTTTTGGTTGGTTTTTCGAGACAGGGTTTCTCTGTGTAGCTTTGCGCCTTTCCTGGAACTCACTTTGTAGACCAGGCTGGCCTCGAACTCACAGAGATCCTCCTGCCTCTGCCTCCCGAGTGCTGGGATTAAAGGCGTGCGCCACCACCGCCCGGCTTCACCTCCCCTTTTAAGACAGGAGACACTGAATTCTCTGAAGGGGCAGGGCAGCTCAATAGGACTCCCTAATTGTAAGATTATCACACCATGAACTTGTGTGTCCCTGGAGAAGGCATTGGTTACCTTTGCCCATGATCCCAACTGTCACAGAAGGAAAGGGAGTTCCTGTCCTCCTCCTCCCAGGTTGTAAGGATTTTTGAGAAAAACAAGTCTCGGTGAGAGGGTGGTTGGTGTGTGCCTTGGCTGAGCAATAACCTCGATACGGCCAGCCTCTGAGGGCCGGTGTGCCCTGAGCTAGGCCCTGCCCTGCTTATGCCACTGTCCCAAGGGTCCTTCTCATACCACCGCTTCTTTGACATCATCAGACAGCAGCAATCGTCTCAGCTGCTCACCTGTGTGAACTATCAGAGCGAGACTTAAGCCTACACATGTTTGTCTGATCATGATAATGATTATAATTGTTTTAGAAGAAATACTGATTTTTTTTTAAACTTCAACCAAATGCTAACCTAATCCCTTCTCCTCATTTCCATTCACCTGCCAAACTCACTTTGTTTTGAAGGAGAGGGGGTGGAGGGAAGAGCACCAGGAGGAAATCAAAGAAAAGGGGATAGAGCCCAATTGATGCAGAATAATAATTAAAGATCTGCCTGGAATCATTAGAGTCATGCCCTCAGGGGTGCTGGGGGCTCAGCCGTCCCTCCTCTCATTATGAGTCCACCGGAAGCACAGGGTGGCTGATGAAGGCAGAACTCTCCCTGTGATCTGACTCCCCATGTCTCCTGGAGGAAATCTGTTTCAGAGTCTTGGCAAAGGGGTTCTGAGCCCTGCTGCTCTCAGGTTCTGTGATACAGATATCTGGGCAGTTCATCCACATCCAGCCTGCTTCTGCAAAGGACTGCAGAGGTCTTAGGCTAGTGAGGGTGTGGTGGACAGAGCCCTGAAGTAACTGGCCCTCTGGGCGGTTCCCTATCTCAATACCTCATGGGCTTTGGTGGGAAAGGGAGATTAGAGACACAAA